ACTGAGCCAAGCCGGCTAGGGCTCCCTTTGCTTTAGCAATCCTATTTCATCCTGGCAATATATATGTGCTAACTACAACATTATAGAGGAGAAAAATCTCCAGAAAATGAAATGTGCATTAATAAGAACTTTCTTAAAGATTTTGTCATGTAATACTGCCCTCCCCTGCTGGCCTGGTTCCCCCTAACTACCCTACTGCCAGCCTGGTCCCCCTTCAACAGCCCTTCCCTGCTGGCCATCTTGTGGTGGCCATCTTGTGTGAAGGCATGATGGTCAGTTTGCATATTACCTCTTTATTATATAGGATGTTTTATGAGACATGAGAGCGTTCATAAGGAAATGGAGATGCAAGTGAACAGTCAGACCTGTGCATTTTTGTGCTAGTGCTGCTGGTGGAAATCGTGTTCTTTCATGGGATCATGAGTAAAAGGTTCAGAGTGGGCCGGGGTCATGCACCTATGATATGAGGCCATAATATATCAAAAGAACTTTTATTTCTGGCACCTGGGTGCAAGTCGGCTGAGTCCGAAAAAGGAATCCGTGGAGACTGAAGGGAGAGGCAAGTTTTTATTAATTTCGGTTAGTTGCAAACAGACCTGCTGATGTAAGGGTCCAGTCCATCCTTGGTTCCTCCCAGCAGTTTACACCTAGTCATTATCTAGGCTATGTGGTGCTCAAGGTCGCAAGCTTTCTGCAAGATATCTGCTAAGCACAATAAGTTTCCTCTGTCCTCTTTTATTCTCTTTAACCCTTTCAGTGAGGAAGGCATGGTGACATGGAAATAGAAGGCTGCCCCTGGGTTTCCAATGCCCACTCTGTCTGCCCCGTCATGGAAGAAATCCAATCTTGTCTTCATCGAGGCAAAACAAAGGCCAGTGACTAGAGTTTCTGTTTCATAATAAAGCTTAGTCCTTTGGATCCCGGGCAGTCTGTCTTGGGGGTGGGATCCCAGATGGCTGCTAGACCCGCATGGTTGCTATAGAGAGAACATGCGAAGGAATGAGGTATGTGTTACTGGGCAAGGGTGTATTACTGGGGGAGACAGAGAATGACTTTCTTAGCTGGGAGTAAATTATCTCGGTGTTGAAAAGGACCAGCGGCTTTTTAAAAATAAGCAATCAATTTCCCAAGCATCCACAGGCCTGTACTGGGTCCACCTTCTAACCAGGGGTGGGCAAACTTTTTGACTCGAGGGCCACATTGGGTTCTTAAACTGGACCGGAGGGCTGGAATAAAAGCATGGATGGAGTGTTTGTGTGAACTAATATAAATTCAAAGTAAACATCATTACATAAAAGGGTACGGTCTTTTTTTTTTTTTTTTTTAGTTTTATTCATTTCAAACGGGCCGCGGGCCATAGTTTGCCCACGGCTCTATCTAACCAATCCATTCTTTCCCCGGGAGACACTGATGGGCCTCTATAGTCATCATCTTGACTCCTATTGCACATGCCTCAAAGGAGCACCTTTCCCGACATCATTTTGCTTAGCTTCTCCTGCTCCCCTCACACTCTGGTATGGAAGGGCAGGGTACTCCCTACATGGGGGGAAAGAGGAGTGTACACCCCCTTGGCAGGGCAATGCTGCCACCTCCCCGAGTGTGTGATGCTGATGAAATAGGCTGATGCTTCCTAGTTGATTATGCTTAATGATGTCTCCCTTTGCTCCTTTCCTGTATTAATATCTGACACTAGGTTTCATGAAAAGTGGACAGTCGTTCTTTAGTATTTTGTGTGGATCCAGTGGATGAGCCTGTGCTCTTAGAGCTCTTTAATGTTTACACCTTATGTATATAGCACACACTATGGGCAAGTTCTGTTTACGTGTCCATTATGTCCAGCATCATACAACCTCCTGAAGAGCTGGGATACTATATTATCTTCGTTGTACCTGAGCTATAAGCATGATCCCTGACAAAAATATTTGATCTAAACAGAAATACAACTTTGAAAAAAAAAAGAAATACAACTTTGCTTTTGCAAATCTAATCAAAACAGAGTTATGCATTATATCAACTATTCCTGCCGGGTACCTTTTACTATTTAGTGGTATCTTACTGGGTTCATGGCCAAGTCTGCACGGCAGAAGTCTACTGTTTTGGCATTCCATCTTACAACAGCCATAGAAGCACCTCTGTGCATGCAATAAAAATGTATTCATCTCTTTCCCACAGGCACTTATTGAGTTATTTCTAAGGCCAAATGCTTTCCATGTATGATGCTACTTAATCCTCTCAAGAATCCTAAAAAGTATATATCATTGTTATTTGTCAGAATGGAAGCTGAGTCAGGTTTACTAATTCTCTCAGGCTCATTTAGCTAGAAATGTTGGAAGCTGAGATTTGTTTTTATAACTGTCCAATTCATGCTCTTTCCAATTTGCCTTGCTGCCTCTGTTTGTTCTGAAACCTGATCATCTGACAACCAACAATATATTCTAAGTGGGGGGAAAACAAAGATGGCGGCATAGGTTAATGCCGGAGATTGCTGCCTCGAACAACCACTTCAAAAATAAAACTAAAAGATGGAACAGACATCATCCAGAACTACAGGAAGTCTGGCTGAGTGGAAATTCTACAACTAGGAGGAAAGAGAATATCATACCCAGACTCAGAGGAGGCGCAGTGCTGAAGTGAAATACTCAGGTACAGAGTGCGCACGGAGCAGGCTGACGGTGGAGGGTGTGGTTGTTGTTTTCAACCGGGAGGGAGTTTCAGACTCTGAGCTCCAGATCCGGGCGAGTCTCTATGGGCCCAGACTCAAACGGGAGAAGCGGGACTGTCTGGCTTCTTCTGGAAGCACACTG